AGAAAAAGCGTTAAGGCCATTTGCAGTCGGGGTTTAAAGGTAATTACTTATAAAGTGACCCATGACCTCTTATATTGGAAATTCGCACTCATTCAATGTCTATGTATGGGGATCTTTTGCCAGAGCAATTACAGAGATAACAGTGTTATTACAGAGATCAGTAGCCAATATATAAGCAGCATATGACAACGTATATAAAGGATAATGGCAGTGAGATGAATTTGTATAGACTAGATAGATAGATAGATAGATAGATAGATAGATAGATAGATAGATAGATAGATAGATGATCAACTGGATAGATAGATAGATAGATAGATAGATAGATAGATAGACAGACAGACAGACAGACAGACAGACAGACAGACAGACAGACAGACAGATAGATAGATAGATAGATAGATAGATAGATAGTTGAAGAGAGATAGAGATAAAGCTCACTCACCTTGCAGTGCTCTGCAGGGCTCCATACACAGCTGGTTCATGGCTGCTGCATTTCTTGCTCTGTCATAACATCAGCTGCATGCAGCTCCTATGAGCCAAATCTGTTATTCAGAATATAGTGTGTAGGTGTGGGTGTGTTAGTATTTCTGTATATATGTGTACATTTAGCTACCCCTCTGTGTATGTAGAATTACAATCTTTCCATGAATGCAGCAGTGGCATGTAATTGCACATTGTACATAAGCCTCTATATGCTGCGCATGTCGCCAATGCTATAAGGGTGTGCTGACATCTCTGCTCTGGCTATTTTGCTAGAGGCTTGCTGGTTTCTGGACTGGTGTCTGTCACTCTGGATGTGTTGATGAGGAGAGCAGAGACACAGGAAACTGCGTATGTGTGTGAGATGGAGAGAGGCACTGCTTATGTGTGTTGGTGTGCCAGAAAGATAGATGGAGAGGGAGAGTGTGTAAGATATAAGGAGGCAGAGAGAATAAGGGAAGTGGCGAGGGTTGGGGGTGGCACACTGTGCCATTTAACTCCTTCTCTCCCTCATGAAGGAAATCAACCCAAATCACATCTTCTCTCCTGATACATTTTTAAACAGATGCATGTATAACATACCTTTTTCTGTGTTAAATGTGTTGGAGGTCTGAACACGCAGAGCTACGTTTTTAGCAGAAAGACAGCAAGACAGCAAAGTGTGTGCTATGACAGTGGATTATTTATAACCAGCAAACACATTATGCAGCTCTGCATAGAAGTAAGACAAGATAATTATATATTAGTAACAATAGACTCAAACAGAGAGAGAAAGAAAGGAATGGTGGAAGAGTTGGTTTACCGGCAGGGAGCAATTCCAATTGATTATGATGAACAACATTTACATATGGAGATTACATTAACACAATGACCTTTACTTAATAAGGATGTGCAAAGTGCTCTAATACGGAGATGCTTAATCAGTGATACAATTGTTCAGGAAGTACCTCTGCCCGGTAAAGGTAGTTTATAATAAATATTTAAAGCATTCAAAAGCAAATTATGTTTAAAAAAAATGCAGATGTGTAGTGTAAAATTTGAAAACATCAAGGCTTGGTTGGAAAACATTTCTTTATAATTTGGATGTACAGGCAATAAGACATGCTGGTAGGTTAACTGACTCTTGTCTATATCAATCCTAGTATGTATGTATCTGAGATAGGGACCTTAGATTGTAAGCCCCGTGAGGTCAGGGACTGATGTGAATGTGCACTGTGTAAAGCATTGCGTAAATTGTCAGTGCTACATAAATGCCTGTAATAAATAAATACATACATACATGCATACCTACATACATACATTTACCCAAGTCTCAGGGTCCCTGAGAAAAGCAGACCCATGTGTTTTTTTTTAGAGGTACAGAGACATAGGTACAGCATCCAGAATCAGTGATTACTGTTTATTAATACTGACCAACCCACATGATTAAAGTTGAAACTGGGTTGATTACTCTATATTATTATTATTATACCAGATTTATATAGCGCCAACAGTTTGCGCAGCGCTTTACAATATAAGGAAGACATTACAATTACAATACAAGTCAAGACAAGATGGTAAGGAGGGCCCTGCCCGTGAGAGCTTACAATATAAAAAATGACTAAATTACTATATTACTAAACAAAAATGGATCTAACTACAGCAAAATAAAATCTGATTGGCTGTTTTTTTCACTTTGCACATTTTCTTGTTGTTCCTGAAAGAAGCACAATATAGAAGTGTCTGGATTGCAGTAATCCACAGAAACCATTCACAAATAATTTTTTAACCAGTGTGCAAATCTGATGTGAAAGGGGGGGGGGGGGCTCTGGTGTAAAGGTGGATGGGGAACCCCAATTGTTTTGTATTTTTGCATGGGGTCCCACCTTAGAATCCTTACTAGAACTGGACCCTTATCTGGAATAAGGGTCTGGGATAGATTTGAGAGGCCACCTGCCATTTTTTACATTTCCACAGTTACAATTTCTACAATTATAGAATGGGGTGCCTCTAGATTTTACATGCTTTTAAAGAGCACCGTCATTTTAAAAAAAGGTTGAGAAACTCTGCTCTAAATTAATGTAATACAGTATTTGATATCGTGATCTGACCTAATACACATAATTACGGTGATAATTATGGTGATGTCAGTATGGTACTGACTTGGGAAAGACAAGTAAAATTTGTGGGGGAATGCACAGACCTTTGCAAACTGTCACACTTGGCTGCCTAGAAATAGATGCACTCAGGTCGCAAATGCACTGTATACCTGTCACAAAGACTTTGCTGAATGACAACAGACCGATTTAGGAATAATGCGTTGCTAATTTTCTTGTTAGATTTATCAGCAGCTATAAAATGTGAGGACCTACCTAAACAATGATCCTGTAAATTTATAATCAGCCAGGTAAGTCCTTGCATTATATGTTGTTGGTTAGGGATGAGCTCAGGTTCAATCTAAACTTGAGTTTGTTCGAACGCAGAAGGATGCTGTCAGTACCGGCAAATGCTAGGCCATTGTCATTCGCCAAATATGGCCATGTGGTCATCTAAGGTTAATGATGTCATGACCATCCCACCCCTTTGTTTACATTCAGCTACAGGATTGGGAAAGCCTCAGCGGCAGCTGATTAGGCCAGCACTGGCAGCTTCCTTCTGAGTTCGGACAATGTCAGGATTGGATCGAACCTGAATGCATCCCAATTTTTGGTAATGGTATAGTCAGATTTGAACCTGTACAGTCAGCCTTGTTCAAGAAAGTGCACAATGAAGCAGCGATATGCATAATACAGTAACCCATAGCAACCACACACTGATCTGCAGGGAGTCAGATCAGTGAAAGTTGACATATTTTTGGTACGTTACAGATAATCATTAAGTTTGCATTGCAATACTGAATAAGCCTGATGGTCTTGAGAGTCTAGTGTAGCCAGACAAATAAAATCTAATACTCAATTGGATGCCTGCTTTACAGCACACGTGTTCCCTTTGCACTGTTTTATTAAATAAGCCATTTAGTCTCTATAAGCGTATAATTTATGGAAAGCTAGCAATTAAATGCTGTGTAATACTTACTTAGTGTAAGGCGTTCTCCACGCGCTTAGTTCATTAGTAATATCACCTCTGTTTACAGCTGCTGTAACAACTCTACTAAGTTGTTATAGATATTCGAATTCCAGCTGTATGTTCCCAGGTACATTGACATAATACACCATTATGTAATATCGCTTTAAACCTACCTACGACTCTATGCACCTAAAAAGACAAAGAATTACAAGTCTCAATATTCTTGTTTTACAATTTATATTATTTTTCACAAATCTAGAACTGTAAACCTTTAAATCTCACATAACCTTTGTATTTGCGTTGATATGTGTCTTATAATGTACACTATATATGTGAAGATTGGTTGTTAAGCAAACCTGGATGAGATTCAGAGGAGATTGTTCAACAAAACCAGTGGAAAGTTTTACTGCAGTCCATGGCAACCACTCAAAAGAGGGTAACAAATAAGAAATGGTGCAGAGGAATGATACCTGACACGAGCAATCAAAAAGGTTTTCTGCAACCGCGTGATTATGGCAGAGAGAAAAAATACATGCAAACTGCTGGTTGCCTCTCCTGACCATTATGGCTTGAAATACCCGCCCTCATTTCTCCTTAAAATGTTAATTACACTGCAAAGTTTCTTAATTAGTGTGATCCTAAACTGACAAAGGCTGGTAAACTCGATTCTAGTTCAAAATATCCTAAAGTTTCCCTAAACTGTGCAAAAACTCACAGTTGCCATCTGCTCTGTGGTCGGTCGCAGCTCATATTGCATGGCAGCTAGGAGCTCAGGCACCACCTACAGGAGCTTGTTTGAAAAATCTAATTTTCATTTACAGTAATGCATTTTAGAATCCTTGGCTGTGTGATGATTTTGCATCAAAAACCTGTTGCATTTCTCACACTAATTACATTGTCTCTATACAACGACAAGGCACAAATAATTCTAATGCGTAATTATTAACACCATCCAATAACAGAACAACTTTTAACATGCCGTTATATAAATGGTTACCCTGCTTCATTACATAATTGCTTGTAGGACCATGTAGTGAAAGAATGGCAGAAAAAAAAACAAATATATATAAATATATACAGTATGTATATATGTATATATCTATATATATACATATATAGATGTATACATATATACATATATATATACAGTGTATACTGTATATAGTGCAGGGAAAGGCATTGGATGCTGGCATTGTTCAGATATTTGGAGAGCCAGCTGGGCCGACTAGCAAGATACTGAAGCTGGGCCCAGTGGGAGATTCCTTCATCCACACAGCTTAGCATAGATGGAGGAATCTGTTGCACTTTTTCCATCTGACCATAGAAAAGCTGTAGATATAATCTATAGGTGTATGGCCAGCTGTACAAATCGAACGTAGGTCTAGAGGCACTCATTGGTCTTGCAGCGGAGATAAGTCAAAGCATCAACGTTTTATTGTCAAGGTTTTGACAGAGCTTAGTCCATCTTTATCAGGACACGATAAACTGAGCACCGGCAAAATGCATGTCATTGACATACAGTGCTGATGCTTTGACTTATCTCCCCTACAAGACTCGATGAGCACCCGGGTGTCGCTATACTATTCGCCACCTGAGACGGGTTGGTGGTGTTGGTTGCTGGTGGTGGGTGCTTGTTACTGGGGCGGTTATGCTTGCTGTAGATGCTCGATACCATGGGGGGAGGGGATTGGGGGGGGTGGTTTGCTACCTCTGGGTCTTGCGTCCATTATTCTGCCCAGCTTACTGATATCACTGGTTGCCAGGACCTGGACGGGACGCCAACCAGAACTTCCCAGCTTAGTACCAACTTGGGATCCAATGAGATGCCGCCTGAGGCAACCAGTTGCCTCATTATAGGGACAGCCCTGTATACATATATGTACAGGTGAAACTCGAATAATTAGAATATCGTGCAAATATTTATACAAATAATGTATTTATATATTCCCTTAAGCTGGCCAAACACTGTGTGAATTTCAGCCAGTTCTTGATGAACCAACCAGAATCCATTCACTGGTTGGCCATGTTGTCAGCCTTCTCAGAAAATCAAAGGAGCCAGTCGGATATTTTCCAGATGAACACTGTTCCGGTATTCTTGGTATTCTGACAGTGGCACACCTGCCGCTGTCAGAATAGAGTAGCCCGACAGGAGAATTTGTTATATTTTTTTCTTTCAGCCCGCAGTTTGAACAAAAAATATAACTGTGTATGGCCAGCTTTACTTGTATAAATGCAAGCAGCCTCCATGATGTGTGCAAATCAAAACCCTTCTCCCCCGACCTGATGGTAGTAGTACTCAATCACCTCAAAAAATGGATGCTTAAATTCTGCTTCATTAGTCACTTCTCCTTCTTTCTGCCTACCTGTAAGTGAACAATGAAAGAGCAACAGTACATTGATGAAATCATTGTTGTGCTCTGCTCCATTAAGTATGTTCACAGTGTAAAGGT